GCGGGGGACGCGGGGGACGCGGGGCTCCCGCTGAGCTGCAGGACGCCCGGGGACGACGCGGCGGGCAGCCAGGGCGTCCAGTCCGGCGCCCACAGGATCATCCCGCCCCTGTTCAGCTACCGCCTGGCGCAGCAGCAGTTGAAGGAGATGAAGAGGAAAGGCCTGACCGAAACCACCAAAGTGTACCACGTGTCCCAGAGTCCCCTGACGGACACTGCCATCGACGCCGCCGCCGGCCCCCCGCTCGACCTGGAAAGCCCCGAAGCAGCGGCAGCGAGCAGGTTCCGGATCAGGTCCCCGTTTCCGGACCAGCCGGTGGTCAGTGCCGGCGACAGGCCGCCCTCCAGGCTGGATGTCAGTGTGTCGCAGGCCAGTTGTGCCGTAAGCCCCAGCCAGACCCTGATCCGCAAGTCACAGGTGAGGCCGGTGGGCAGCAGAGGGGACCTGTCGGAGAGGAGCCACCCCAGGAGTTCCCAGTTCAGGAGAACGGCCAGTTTCCATGAAACCAAGCAGGCCCGGCCGTTCAGGGAGAGGAGCATGTCCAGTCTGACTCCAGGACAGGCCCCCGCCTACAGTTCCAGGACGCGGGCCTGGGACCAGGCCGGGGACAGAGGGAGGCCGCACAGTCGAGGCGTCCCCCTGCTTCCTGAGAAACTGGAGCAGTGCCCAGGGGCAGGTGGAGGCAGTCGTCCCTTAAGCCCTCTCCCCAAATCCTGCACCTCGGGGCAGCCCTCCAGGAAACCAGACGTGGGGGACTGCCTGGCAGGATTCGTGGCAGGAGTCGAGAGAACGGAGCCTCACCGAGCTCGGAGGGGACCGTCCCCCAGTCACAGGAGCGTCTCAAGGAAGCAGTCTTCCCCTGTTTCCCCCAAAGATAGCTACCAGAGGGTCAGTCCTCTAAGTCCCTCTCCATGTAGAAAAGACAAGTGTCAGAGCTTCCCGGCCCACCCCGGGTTCGCCTTCTATGACAACACGTCGTTCGGCCTCACTGAGGCTGAGCAGAGGATGCTGGACCTTCCGGGGTATTTTGGGTCAAATGAAGAGGATGAAACCACAAGTACACTCAGTGTGGAGAAGCTGGTCATCTAGACCGAGGTCAGCGGGAGACTTCACAGCTGGGTCCTTTGCCCAGGTCGTGCTATCCACGGCTCACATTGTCCTGTGGACTGTTCTCTGTCACTGTTTGTACAGGGGGACGGAATGTGGGCAAGAGGT